ATGCTAAAATTCGCTGAATCCACACATTTAAAGAAATTATAAAAAATTTAATTATGGTAATTTTAAATATTTTAAGTCACATGTTTTATAAAAATAGTGATATGTATTTCTAGATCAAACTAGCAGGTAAATATTTACATTTGTGCTTCCCAATACTAACATTTTTTAAATAAATTTTTTGTAGTTTTCATACTTTTTCATAGAATCATAATCTGACCTTTGAATTACCATATTGTTCATTATCATATCTATTTTTTTTTTCTTGTAAGTCTGATGATAAAACACTATTTCAGAAATGTTGCAAATAAATATCACATTCAAAAAATTCAGTTAAAAAATAATTGAAAATTCACTATATAATAACCCTAATTCATATTATAAATCAATAATTTATAAATAATGTCTTTTGAAGTTTTTAAAATTTTAGAAAATTGTCCAAAAAGTTTTAATTTTGGCAAATTTACTAAAAATAGTTATATTGCGTGAAAGTCGTAAGGTATTGTCAAATTAATTAAAAATCATTAGGTATAAGTCTTATTATAAATTCTATATTTTAATTTTTAAAACGAAATTATTAATTAAAAACGAAACAAAAAGAAAAATACGAAATTTATGAATTTAAAATAAATTAGTGCTATTTAATAATACAAAAATTTATATCCCTGAGAGCAGATACAATACAAAATACTTCTCCAAATATAAGTAAATAAAATATTAGGCAAAATTGAACGTTTATTTTCAAATGATATTTGAAAATTTTTGAAAAATTTCGATATTTTCGAAAATTTTGATATATTTGATAAATTCGAAATATTCTATAATTTTGGTAAAAAAATCATATTCTTGAAATAATTTGTCATTTTTTTCGAGTTCAACAAAAAAAAAAATAGAAAATCTTCAAAAACTTGAAAATACCATCTATCAAACTTTTTAATAGTAACTATACATAGCATCACGGTCTTCATTATGCGATTAAGTAAATTATTAACAACCACTTGTAATATTGATTTAACTAAAACATACTTATATTAAAAATCTAGTTTTATATAGGTATTTTGATTAGCTGTAAAAACTAACTATGGTGTTTTATAAGCAGTTGTAATTGAATTCGCAAACTCTGCAATAAAAGACAACCCCATTGATATCCTTTCTAATTATGATATATTCTAATTTTAATAGTGATCTCATATTCAATTTGTCGCAGCAATGCTCCGAGGAGTCATTTTCACTTGAAATCATCAACCGCTTGATATCAAGTTGTCCGAATCGGGGGATTGAGCCTTGAACTTTGTGACCTCCTACCCCACGACAAGTGAAAAAATCTGAAGTTAACTATCAATATGCAAAAAATGCTTTGATGTCAAGCTTGCGATACTGATCATGCAACTATTTTTCCACTTCACGACGAACATTTTTAATCACACTCATGCTCAGCGTTACCTATCATCATATTATACTTTTATCAAACAATTAAGGTAGTATCATCGATCGACAGTCGACAGTCGACAGCTTTTATTCGTCGACATTTTCAATGATTGTAATTCCGAATGTGAAAGATTCAAACGTAATAATGGTCGCAATTTCAGTTCGTCGTTCGGCACAATCGTATCGGCTATCTAAACTGGCAACCGACCGATTGACTGGCGGTATTGTCGATGGTCTGATAGACGAACGATAAACATCGGTTCTCTTATTATGATCTTCGACACTTCCAGCTCGCTATCATTCGTGTATCTACTAGAAATTGTTCATTTTGTTCTTTATTTCGGACCGTCGGAGTTTAATCTACCGTACATCCATCGACCGTGAAGTTGGCACCGAAAATGGAATAGTTGGCATCGCCAGAATTTTGTCATTGTGACAAGTTTAACAGCAATGTTTGCTACTGCATGTGATCCTGATGTTGCAAATAATGAAAGGGTTTTCTTACATTTTGATAACGATCAAAATAATCGCAGAGAATAAAATTTAAAAATTGCTGTCCTCACCAATAAGAGAGACAGAAAACCGAGATTTCTGTGTAAATACACACGTACCCACTAATAGTCGACATTCCATTGGCCTTAGTCTTTAACTTAATCTTTCAGACCAAATAACTAGCTAAAATTAACCTTTAACGAACGTGCGCATTACCTAAAACTATGCCCAGTAGGTCGACCGATTTTTAAGAAATTAGGTGCATTATTTCCAAAGCGAGAAAAATTGCATAATTTTTATCGCTTTATTGGATTTGAATAGAATGAAATTTGTCCAATATTGCTTGTTGACCAATATTCAAATTTATTTTCTAACCGCATTCTGACCATATTAAAAATTACAGAAAAAAGATCCCAAAATCAAAAGTTCAAGAAAGATTTTCAATTTTAAGAAAAACTATATATTTTACAGCCATCAGAACTATGTGTTCTATACGCTTAAATTAGTATTTCTAAAAGGCAACCTTGTAGTTTCTGTTCACTTTCTGATAAAATTATATTAGATATTTTTTTAACAGTAGTGTGAAAATTGCAGCAATGCCTCAGAGGACATTTTCACTTGAAGGGAGATTCACGATTTAAAGTAGAAAATCTTAACTACAGCTTGATATCAATCCAAATAAAACTGATATTAAACCCGGAATCAGTGGTTGGTAATGTACAGTTATTACCATTAACTAATCAATCAGAAATAATGATGTAAAAGCCATAATATGATTCTCTCTTCTTTTATGATATTATTCTTGAAAGCGCAATACAAAATGAAATTGTTATAAAGATGCATTGATTTTTTATTTATAAATATTATTAAGTTCATAATTTGTTCAAAAATGAATAACATTACAGTTTTAATAACAATAAACAAATAAAAGCAACTTAATTTTTTTCAAATTGATCTTTAATACTGACAGGTTAGGGTTTTGTTAAAAAGTGCCAGTTTTTTAGTTTTCATAATCTTGAAAACCTTAATAATTAAGTATCATTATAATAAATTTTTTGGACTTGAACTGATATAATATAACAAAAAATTACTACAGTAAAAACATTTGTTATAAATTTTGAAATATCTGCATCGCGCTAAGCATTTCAGCATTAGTTACCAATGCTAAGCGTTTATTTTTAAACATTTCTTAAAATTGTATGTTCGAGCACATATTTTTTCAAATAAGTTAAGTAGATGGTGTTTTCCCCAAAAATAATGTCGCTTCGAAAAAAAAAGGAAAAAATGAGGAATAACTTAACTAAAGAAGCACCAAATATATTGCGGCTTTGTATTCAAATTTCGTTAATTTCAGTTAGTCCGATTTATAATAATATATAAATATATAATATATTATATATAAATGTTCATCTTATTTTCTTCATTTTCGACAAAATCGGTGCCAGCTTCATCGAACAATTCGTATATCCATATCTGGGTATGCAGATCGCAAGCTCGCTGGCTCGCGCTGACCGATCGAAAAAGCCTCCGGACTTCTCGTTACCAATCATAATATCAAAAACGAACTTAAAAAAAAAATCTTGCACTTTCCAAAATATATATTATCTTGGTGTTTAAAATAATATTTATCCTAAAAAGGAGGTTTATTAAAATTCAACTGATTTTAATAAAAAAAAAAAACTGATTTTTACTTAAATGTGCTGATGGCAGCTGATGAAAGCACCTGCTTGTTTTTTAAATATTACTGACTTATTTGACACTGGCTTGTTAAAATGTACTCGTATTTAAACATCTCATAAATTATTTTATTTAAAAAAACGTTCTTCAGAAAATCACAAAGTTATGGGGCTAACAAGTCTCCAGTAAAATATTCTGTAACATAGGGTTGTTGTGGCAACGCTATTTTACGCTGCTTTCTTGGTACTATAAACTGTTAAAATGCTTCGTGCCATTGCAAATTGCTAGAACTTTTTGTACCATGATTTAAAATTTTTAAAAAAATTGAATGTCCATAAAAATTTTGATTTTTTTTTTAAAGCACTGCATAGCTGTTTTAGAGGCAAAATATCGAAGCGCGTAAGCGCCGTGTTGCCTGCCTTTATTAAAAACTAAACAACATGTTTCCTCATTGATAGAAATCGAATGTTTTTTGAATCATCCAAATCGGTTAATCCGTGCATTCGAAATTGTTGACGAAAATTTATATCCAAACATATAAACATACATACTAGATACATACTGCATCAATTTATTCAAAAGTGTACCGAAAAAATGGCTAGACCTGCCTTTATCAAAAACTAATTGATCGGCACGTCTCCTTTCCGCGATAGAAAGCTAATGTTTTCTGAATCATCCAAATCGCTTGATCCGTGCTTTCGAAATCGTCGATAAAAATTTATATCCAAACATACATACATACTACACACACATTATATATATATATCAATTGTTTCTAAAGTATGCCAAAAAACAGGCTGGGGCTGCCTCTATCAAAAACATGTTTCCTCATTAATAGAAATCGAATGTTTTTGAATCATCCAAAACAGTTGATCCGTGCTTTCGAAATAGCCGATTAAAATTTGTGTCCAAACATACAAACATACTACACACGCATTATATATATCAAATTTTTCTAAAGTGTGATAAAAAAACACTCGACCTGCCTTGATAAAAAAATAATCAGCACGTCTTTCCTCATCGATAGAAATCGAATGTTTTTTTGAATAATTCAAATCGATTGGTCCGTGCTTTTGAAATAGTCGATTAAAATTTGTGTCCAACATACATACATATTACGAACACATTATTTACGTCAAGTTTTTCTATAGTGTGCCAAAAAAAGACTCGACCTGTTTTTATCAAACACTAATCAGCACTCGAACAGAAAAAATCAAATGTTGTTTTGAATCATTCAAATCGGTTGATTCATGTTTTCGAAATCCTCGACGAAAATTTGTATCCGAATATACATACATACATACTACACACACACTACATACATTTTTTTTCTAAAATGTGCCAAAAAAAAGGCTAGACCTACCTTTATTTTTTTTCTAAAATGTGCCAAAAAAGGCTAGACCTACCTTTATCAAAAACTAATCAGCACGTCTCCTCATCGATCAATTTTTTCTAATTGTAAGGTATGCCAAAATGTACAGAAACCTCTGTAAAGAAAAAAAATTTCATTATCGATTTTGTTCCGATTACTATAACTTATCCTATGGAAAGTTAATTAATGAATGTAATTTAATCTATTACATTGTTACGACAAAATTGCTGATTTGCATCTTCATATTACAATATAATACAATTTTGTCTAAAAACTCGTATTTAACAAAAACATCATTATGAAAAAGCACGAAATTAAATCTCTCCGAAATTAGTCGAGAATTCGGCTTCTGGGTCTCCGTTCTATTGATTTTAATTATATGGCAAACTAATTATACATTAATTTCAATAGCGCATTTCGAGTCAGAAGTGATCCTTTTAAAGTCTCGGCACGCAACGGGCGACCGCGAGCTCCGTTAATGTGTCTATAACTTTTAATATTTTTTCCCTTCCATAATTGAAACGTTGGAACTGTTTTTTGGTCCGGTAAATTGGTATCGGTTCGCCTGTATTCGTACGTTGTACACATAAACCCGAAGAGTATTAGTGAACTATATGTGGGATACGTGTTAGTCGCTCGGGTATACCATTAGTAAACCTAATTATCCTGGATAATTGTATATTATTATCTCAGACTTACGTCAAACACGCGCCTCAAAACAGATCGCTTCTTGTTCAGCATCGGTGCTGTACAGGAACTCGAACAACCATGTACACAATCATTTCAATTCACGATTATTAAAATTATTCGAAATGGAAATGAAATTAAGACAAATTTTGATCTTTGTCGTAGTAAGAGATTATCATCTATGCATTCACTAAAATCATATACCTCGTGGTTGGTTTATAATAAATTATGTATAATTTTAAGATTTATCTTTTGTATCAACAGATTTACCTTGTTAGAATCAGAATCAGACTACGTAATTGGATTTTTATCCCATATTATACAAATTATTTGTGCATTTATCATTCATCAAAAAATTCATCCCAAACTAGGTCTTTTGTCTGGGTATGTCGTACTCAACACTGCTTGGGTATACTACCGAGTACCTCCATTAACCTCTTGCCTTTTTTCCCAAGTAAACCGCCTTTAAAAATTACTTCATGGGGGAGGATTTAGAATGCTAGGATTTTCTTCTCTTAATTGTACTTTCTACTTGGTACCATTCGCTCTTCCTCTTTCCAAAAATTGCAAGTCAAGTTAGATTCTAATTCAAACTATGTAATTGGATTCTTATCCCATATTATACAAATCATTTGTGCATTTATTTATCGTATCATCTGTACTTCCCGAAGAAAATGTTTCTATTTATTTTTTAATTTTATGGTTTTTGATAATTTTAGATCATTATGCATTGTACATTACGAAATTGAAAAAATCATCCCAGACTAGATCTTTTGTCTCAAACTCAATAAGGACTCACGTTGATTTGTTTTGCAAGACCATCATCCGAGTTGATGAATTTTTGAGTTGAGTTTCTTTAGAATTTGCACAAATTTGCAAAATTATTCGTCCACGTAATCGCAAAATAATCTAAACTGATTTCAAAAATCCTTCAAAAAATATAAGTTGAGAATCGCGCTGATTGGTTTTGACAAAGATCGTCCGGGCCGCTTTTTCGTAATTATTTGTTGAAATTCTCTACGATTTTGATGCTAGAATTCTTGCTTTTTACGAACTTTCTAAATTATTTCGAGTCTAAAAAAGTCTTAAGTTTATTGTTAAAATTAGTATCTAAAAGCAAATAATTTTTGAAATGTTCAACAAGTCGGTAATGTGAGTATTAATTTTGTTCTGTTCTTAATGTTGTTTCTGATGAATCCTCCTTAAGTTTCAGGAGATTTTTTTCATCTCACTATATATATATACAGTAAGTTGCTATGTAGAATAATAATATTATAATTACAAATATTCACATGTGATTTGATTGAAATTATTGTGAGAGTGGCATGTTTTTCATTTTATATTATATAAACATGAATTCAAACGCATTCTACACACATATATAATCAATAATAATAATAATTAATTAGAATCATTCAAATCATTATTCGTTTGATAAATAATTACAATCAATAGAGCAGAGAATCCAGAAACCGAACCCGAACCAATTTTGTGTCTCACGATTGAATTGATTATTTGTTAAATTCAAATTATTTTTCGAAAGATAACTAAGAGGAAAACTTTGTAGATAATAATTGTTAAAAACGTAATGGAAACATTTTTTGTTGGGGTTTCGAGTTTCTAAAGTACATATAAAATCGAGTTTACTAAAAGTACATATAATATCACATTATTAAAGTTATATTACAATTCACTATTATTGATTTAGTACTTATAGTATCTGATTCCATATTGTAAAGTGCAAAACACTGGAGCCAATTCTCAGATAAATAAAAATGTTACGTTAAGGGTCTATAATCGTATGATTTGGTAGTCGAAAACTGTAAAAATGCTAAGTATTACCAGCGCGATCAGGCGTTGTACACATAAAACCTAACCTCCAAAAGGTTATATATATGTAATACACACCTATACACGCTTTACATGGAAGACAGGTTCCATAAAAAAGCCTGTATATAAAAAAAATCACTCTTATATGGAAAAACCGTGTAAACAAAAATGACTAAAAAAGCCATTTTTATATAAAAAAAATATAAACACTGATTGAAATAGTTTAAGAAAAATTATGCTCTTTGTTTTGGCATTTTAAACAATGTAGTTTATACACACATAAAATTTAGCTTTGATCATAAAACGGAGATTTTCCAATCAATAAATTTCGTCAAAAAAAATATTTTCAAAAACCGTGCAAGATCGAAAACTTGTTAAATGGGGGATAGATGTATATATAATTAGTTTCTATTATTTGACAATGCTCTACAATCTTTTTATTCACATTTATATATTTTATTAAAAATTACATCTCCTTTAAAAAAACACATTTTAAAATGTAGCCATACCAAACTATACCTGATCGACTCATAATGGCTAATGATTTTTTTTTTCTTTGTAATTCTGTATCGACCAAGTATTGTCTATTACTTGCAACTTTTCTGCTTTTTTAGTTATTTTATCATCTTTTAAAAAACACATATATCTAATTTTTTTGAAAACTGCTGACAGTTTTTTTATTTGTACATAAACATTTTGTCATTTCAACTATTTTTATTAATAGCTATAAAAACAAATTTTGGAAAACCGTCTCCCACCCTCTACCTCTCTCTCCCTCCCTCTCTCTCTCTAAAAGTTACTAAATTATATTGTATCATACACTACATATTGTGATAAAATATATTTAAATCTTGTTGACCAATGTTTATTCGTTAGACTACGACAAGGCGCTTACGCGCTTCAATATTTCGTTTCTAAAACGGCTACTCAGTGCGATTTGCTTCGAAAAACAGGTTTCACAATAAATCATTTAGAAATTTTTTAAAAATATACATTTTCTAAATTTTCACAATATAAAATAATGAAAAGTCGAATTTTTTCAATAACCTTAAAATTCTCAAAAATCTATTTTTTAATGCTTTCATAAAAATTGAAGCTTTTTAAAAAAACTTCAAATTTTGGTACGGGAAGTTGTAGCAATTTGCCTAAAGGCACAATGCCTCAAGTTAATTTATGTTTATAGAGTGATAAACCTTGGACCAAAAGTCAACTCGATGTCCTCTAAAATATAAACTTAATGTAAATTCCAAAATTTTAGCTAGTTTCATTCGCTTGAGTAAATCTACACAAATCTTAGATAGTTTTTCTAATAATTTTCGTAAGTACTCGAAGTTTTTTTTCCTATACACTCTGCGACGTTTTTTGTGATGTATCTCCTCTCTGTCGATGCAAAGAAAAAGGGCAAAATAATTTTACTGAATATAACATTGAATGCAAAATCTCTTGTATGTTTATAGTCTATTATGTCGACTTTCGGTGGCTTCAACGCGAAGTCCTGAATTTCATATCCAAAAGAAATGTAGACCGTGACAAAAAATATGCCTACGTTCACAAAAGACACTCCGAACCATTCACGTAACTCTTGAAAGGGTTTTTATAAGACTTTATCGGAATGCTTTTCATGCCTCCGTGAATTTTATTTTGCACGGGATTCTGTTCGACGGTCTTGTGCTCGAAATTTACAAGATACCAAGTTGCCGTTAAATGTGACGCTGGTAATAAAGAATATTGATTCGGTGTAAAATCAAGTAAATCGACGATTATGAGGCTTTTATTGTGGAACTTTTGTGGTTATCTTAGGACAAGACGGAGAGATTGGAGAGATTTGCTTCTGGCAAATAAAAATTTAGGAATAGTTCATTCAAAACGGCGGTACATTGCAAATTTTCACTATTTGGAACCAACTATGGAATCAGAACATAAAATTATTTCAACAAGATTTAAATATATTTTATCACAATATGTAGTGTATGATACAATATAATTTAGTAACTTTTAGAGAGAGAGAGAGGGAGGGGGAGGGAGGTAGAGGGTGGGAGAGGGTTTTCCAAAATTTGTTTTTATAGCTATTAATAAAAATAGTTGAAATGACAAAATGTTGATGTACAAATAAAAAAACTGTCAGCAGTTTTCAAAAAAAATAGATATATGTGTTTTTTAAAAGATGAAAGTAATAGACAATACTTGGTCAATACAGAATTACAAAGATTTCCCAGATTTTTCTATCTGGTCGCCTCTGTATGTAAGTATATAGTGTGAGAGAGCAGTCAAAGAGAATGTTTGATTCCCGGTTGATTCTTATTGTCAACTACTAAACTAAGATTTAGATATTCCACAATCGATCTATTTCTCCATGTTATCAAAGTCAATGTTGCTGATGCAAAGGGTTGAACTAACCGCGGACACATCCGACATGAATCGACGTTATCTCTATCGGGATGGATATTGGTGACTCCTGATATGTATATCGGTCGGTCCGAACGAGGTTGTTTAGTTTTGCGTCCGATTAAGGCGATTCAAGTCCGGTCCGTCCATATCTTCGAAGAGATTTCCC